GCGTCTGGCACTCAGCAGTCACATCACAAAAGGTCTCAGAAGTCTTCTCTCTCCTCCGGAAAGCTGAATCTGAATTTTGCAGCTTACTTCATAGCATAGCTGGGTTTAATATAATTTTTTTTCCTTCCCACCCAGTCTTCATAGGAAATTGATGCTTTGGGAAGAGACTTTGTGTTTATTCTTTGTCCTTACATCCCCCACCCTGGTCTGCCACCAAACAAACCTTCGCAGACACTGGTCACATAGGCCTGCTGGGAATGAGGCTCTGTCGCCAAAGGAATGAAAGCAAGAGGGAAGAGTTGCTCACAGGGCCCAGGTGTGAGGTCGTTAATACTAATGACACTTATCACAAGCCTCCGTTATTTTATTGGCTCCCGACAGGGAGAGCAATGGGCAGAGGCCCATTTTACAGGTAGGGAAACTGAGGCTCTGAGAGACTAAGTGACTCGGCCATGATCCTCCTTGTCAGTGGTGGTGGAGTGCGGAGCTTCGGTCCAGTGAGTGCCCTTCCTTCTGCCCTGTCATAGTTTGTGCCCTTAATTTGTGCCAGAGATAATGTGGAGGGGCTGGGATTGCCAATGTGGGCCCGATTCTTCAGCCTTCCCTGTACTCATGCCTTTGGCCTTGTCACTCTGCCGTGTCCTTCCGGAAGGAGGGTGAGAGACACGTGGAGCCGAGCTGCCCCAGCCAGACCGGCTCAGTGGCTGCAGAGCCCTGGCTAGAGGGGTGATTCCAGCCCAAATCATCGGGGCCACCTAACTGACTCCCAACTGACCTCAGATGTGTGAATAGGAAATGCTTGTCATCGGATGCCATGGAGGGTCTGTGGTTGGTTGTCAACGCGGGGCTATTCACGTCACCACTAGCTGATATGGTGCGTGCAAGATGCTTGTGAACACCTGTGAGCAGTCATTCTCCTCTCGAGGGGCGCCTGGGTGGCTGTCGGTGAAGTCTGCCTTCGGCTCCGGCCATGATCCCAGGGTCCTGGGATCTAGCCCCGCATCGGGCTCCCTGCTCCATGGGGAGTCTGCTTCTCCCTCTGCCTCTGCCCCTGCTTGTGTGCGTGTGTGTGCACGCTCGCTTTCTCTCTCAAATAAAAATAAATAAAATCTTAAAAAATAAACTAAAAAAAGAATTCTCCTCTTGCTTTTCTGTCAGTCTGGACTCACTGGCAGCTTCCTTGAGGCTTGTCAGCACACCCATGCTGCACCTCTCCCTGGCAGGGCCCCTAGGGGACTGCACTGTGCCGGGGGTGAGGCACGGGAGGGGGGTGTCCTTAAGATTTGGGGACTAATGGCAGAGTAACATAGTTGTTAGTCACACAGGCTTGGTTTAGGTTGTGGTGCCTGTTACTCGCTGTGTGACCTTGGGAGAGTTTTTAGACCTCTCAGCCTCAATTTCTTCATCTGTAAAGGGGGATAATAGTCAGGGTTGTCATGATTATTAAGAGATTGGCCCCCTGAAGCCCTGGGGTGGCGCCTGGCACACAGATCACCAGCACTCAATCCTCAGCGACTACGTTAAGCTACCCACAGCACTCAGTGGTCGTTGGCATGTGGGGCTCTGGGCCCCCAGGCCAGGGGTTCCTCTGCCGAGGCAGAAGATGGAGGTGGGAGGTTCAGTGCCCCAGTGCCCACTTTCCCTTGCTTCCAAGCATTGGTTTGTGACCTCTTGACAAAGTCCACTGATCCTTGCTGTCACCCAAGGGAGTCTCTCATGACCCCTCCCTTCCTTCTCCCTGCACTCCCACAGCATACTCTAGGTTTTGCCAGAAGGGAGGAGGGATGGCGTACTTATTCCCTATTGCTGCTTTAACAAACGATCACACATGCAGAGGCCTAAAACACATAGAGTAATTCTCTTATAGCTCTGGAGGCCAGAGGTCCACAGTCAGTCTCAAATGGGCTACAGCAGCGCTGGTTCAATCTGGAGGCTCTTGGGGAGAACCCCTTTCCCAGCCTCTTCCAGCCTCTAGAGGCCGCCTGCCTTCCTTGGCTTGTGACCCCTTCCTCCGGCTGCAAAGCCTGCAGCGGAACGTCTTCAAATCTCCATCTGACTCTGACCCCCTGCTCCTGCCTTTATCCCTTATGCCCCCTCTGCCTCCAAACTTCCTGCCTCCCTTGTGATGACATAGGGCTCAGCTTGTCAAGGCAGGATACTCTCCCCATCCCGAGGCCACACATCAATCACATCCGCAAAATCCCTTTTGCAACACAAGGTGACACACTTGCAGATTCTGGAGATCAGGACGTGGACATCTTGGGAGGGCTGTTTTTCTGTTTGCCACAGGTAGGCGGGGGACACGACAGCAGCTCTCATCCCCGAGTCTGAGAATTTTACACTTTCGTTGAATGAACAGAGCCATGGGTTATGTTTTATCCTTTATTAGCGAATAAAAAGTAATTTGGGCAATTCAAACACAGGCACAAAAGCTTATTTAGATTTGAGATGGGGGGTGCAGCTCTGCAGCACGACACGGATGCCTCTTAAATAAGTGCTGAACTACTACTGAACCCCTCTCTCCATCCCTGCCTAGGTCGGGCCATGTTGACTTTGTCCCAGTTCATTACAGTAGCCTCCCAGCTGGCCTCCTTGCCTCCACTCTCGCCTCCTCCAAATCACCCTGCGTACAGCTGTCAGATGCACACTTTGGGGGCACATATCCGCACCCAGGGGTCCCTTCTCTATCTACAACCTTTCTATGGCCCTCCGCTGCCCTCAGAATAAAGTTCCAACAGTCCTCTGCCATAGCCACAAGGCTGTCCGTGAAGGGCCTTTGCTCACTTTCAAGACCCATCTCTTGTCACTCCCTGCCTGGGTGGCCAACCATCCCGGTTTGTCTGGGACTGTCCCAGTCTTCGCTCTGAAAGTCCGCACATCCTGGAAAACTACTCAGTACCAGGATCGTTGGTTCCTCTATCCCTGTCCTGTACTTAATGCTCTAGCAACACCTGCTGCTTGGAGATGTCTTCCATGCCTTTCTCTCTCAGTCAGGAAAGCCATCCCTTATGTTATCTCCCCGGGTATCAGTGAGGGGTGTGCCAAACTGCAGGTAATGGACAACCTGATTATGGTGGTTAAAACAAATACAGGTTTGATTACAGTGGTTAAAACAAATGCAGGTTTATTTTTTTCACATAGTAAGGCATTCAGAGCCTGGTTCCTGGCATTGGATTTGCAGCATGGTGATGGGGGAGCTCATAGCTGCAGTTCTCTTGGCCACAAGATGGCTGCCTCAGCTCCGTGCATCACATACATATTCATATTCTTGCAGGGCATTAGAGCATGGTGGTCAAGAGCATGGTGGTCAAAAACATGGGTTCTGGAGCCACAACACTAACATCTGGATCCCAGCCCCACCACCTCCTAGTTAAATCACCTTGGGAAGTCACCAGCCCTCTCTAGCCTCAATTTTTTCATTGGTAAAACACCTCATAGGGTCGTTTTGGAGATTCAGTGAGGTAATACATGCAAAAACCTGTAGAATAGTGCCTGGCACATAGTAAGTGCTCAATATGTGTTAGCTTTTATTTTATTACTGTAGCTGTAAGGGACCTGAGGACAGCAACTATTTAGCATTTATAACCTCCAGTAGACACAGAGACAGGCTCAAAAGGAGGCGGCTGGGAATGAAGTCTGGGTCAAGCCACCAGCAGCATCTTCTATACTTGGGTACCTTCTGTTCACATTTTAAGACTCAGCTTAGGCATCACCACCTCCAGGAAGCCATCCTAGACTCTTCCCCCCAACGGACACTGATTGCAGTTCCCCTTTCTATGCTCTTGGTCTGTACTCCAACCTCCATACTCACACCAGGGAATTCAAGAATCTCTCGATCTGTCTCCTGCAGAACAGAGATCTTGTCTGAACCAACCCTGGATTCCCAGGACTGAGTGGATGCCAGGCTGCTTGTTGAGTAGCTGAAATCTTTTCTGAGAATCGCCTTGGTCTAGTAAGGTATGGGAGGTGTGTCTGGTCCCCACCTTCAGGAGCCATACTCTGATGGGGGAAAGCTGACAGCTCAGGACCAACCAGACAGAGGCTGCTGTAGCCGGGGACACTCCCAGCAGGAGTCCAGAGCCCGGGTGGGTGCACTCCCTCCACAGGTGAGTGTGTTCTCAGGAGCACCATGCTCAGGGGTCCAGAGCCCCACTTGGACACTGGATCACCCTCTTTTCGGGCTCCACTTGCCCTCTTCTTGGTCTCAGGAGGGCTCCCTTCCCCGAGCCTCTGGGGGTCATGTGTTACTGGTCATCCTGACCTGGCCCAGCTCTGTCTTCTCTCTGGGCCTCAGTTTCCCTGCCCGTCTGATACAGGGCAAGCTTTTCCAGCTCTGACCTGCTGCGACTATGTGTGGAAACCACTCTTTTCCTCAAACCTGCGCCCCCTGAGGGAGGCGCTGGGGCCTCGTCCTTCTCACAGTGCCCAGCACAGGGCTGCCATAAGTCAGGGCTCATGAAACACTTTTCGACTCAGAGAGCCCAGGCTGACAGCAGTCATGGGGTCTGCTCTGGGGTGGGGGCCTACTTGGGAGCCTCTTTCTCAGGCACCTAGTGTAACGGGCATCCTCCTTTGGCCATCGTTTTCAGGTTGGGGAGCTGTTCTTGGGGAGACCCCATTGTCCACCTGCAGCTGGGGGGGGGTGGGCCTGAGGACCCACCAGACTCCTCTGTGGAGGAAGGATCAGGAAGGGAGTGATTTGATCAGGCGACTGTGGTTCACAGCCTGTGAAATGTTGGGGGGCAAGCGTCTGGTGTGTCCTAACTCCTATCCTCTCAGGCTACCATGGGGCTTTCTGAGATTCCCCTTCCGCTAGCACCCCAGCAGCTTCCCCCACAGTCTAACCAGGCTGGCTGAGGGGGGCTCTCTTTGCATCCCTGGTGTGGCAAGGGGCAGCCCCTACAGAGCCCGGGACCCCGCAGGGGAGGCACACATCAAGGAATGAAGGCAGCCTGAGTGGGGAAGGAGTTTTATTGGGGTTGCAGGCTCCCAAGGATGAATCACTGCTGCATTTTCTGGAAGAGCAGAGAACAGGGTGAGGGACTTGGGTGGAGGTGTGTGTGTGTGTGTACCCCCTTCTGGAGAGAACACTGCCCGACAGTAGGAACGGGGGCATGGCAGGCAGCCCTGGGTCTTGACAAGCCAGTCTCGCCTCTGCCCAAGAGGTCTGAGCCCCTCAGCCCTTCAGACCACTGGGCAAATGGGGCTCAGAACACACCCTGCCCCCGGCATGAAGGCCCGGAGCCCAGGGTGACCCTCTGTTCCCCCACCACCCATGCTGACCCCTCTCCCCTGCTGGGCCCTGTTCTCATGGGGTCGCGTTTCACTCTGGGGCCACGGGTGTGGTGCCTGGGATGGAGCCGTAAGGATTTGCTGAGGCCAGTGGATGAATGGATGAAGTCAGTGACTGTGCCCCTCACCTCACCCAGCTCAGCACTCGGTGCCCCCCGAGTGGGTGTGTGAACGCATAAGCACACGAGTGAGCAGGTGAGCAGGTGGGCGAAGGAGCAGGTGAGTAGGGGAAGGGCGAGGGGGCAGGAAGAAGGGCTCGGAGGCAGGCACCCACCTCGTTGATCCAGTCGATGTAGGCGGACACACGGGTGAAGACCGTGGGCTTCTTGAGAGTGTTGCAGCCCAGCCCAGAGCCGAAGCTGACGATGCCCCGCACCTCCCAGAAACCCTTCTCAGCCTGGCAGTTCAGTGGGCCGCCTGAGTCCCCCTGTGCCAGACCAGGCGCTCGTCAGCCACGGGGCCTCTCCCAGAGGCAGGCTTGGGAGGCAGGGGCGGGCGGGTCACGGTGGGGGATATGGGTCAGTGCCCCCTAATTTGGCCTCAGCCCGTCCATGGTGAGGGAGGCAGAGGAGATGCGGTTTGGGGGTGCCAGACTAGCTCTTAGGTTGCTGTGTGATCTTGGGCTAATGATAACCCTCTCTGTGCCCCGGTTCCCCTAGCTGTTCAGGTCACTGTGTGGGAGGCTCTGCGAGCTGCCCGGGTAGGTGAGGATGCCCGGAGCCCGGAGAGGTGTTGGAGAGCTGAGAAAGTGAGGAAGGTGGGAGTGGGGAAAGGGGCTGTGTGTTTGGAAACAGGACAGTTTCTGGTTGTTCTAGATGTTTCTGTGTCGGACTCCCTGAGTCCTCTGCCTCCCTGGATCGATGGAGCTGATGGCGTGGAGGAGCATGTGCAGAGACTTCACTGAAGTCTCTTCTATACTTGTCAGATTCGGTCCTCACACCAGCCCTGTGCTCACTGCGTCTCCGTTTTATAGAGGGGAGAACTGAGGTGCAGAGAGGGTGAGCAGCCTGCATGAGATGGCCCAGCCACCAGATGGTGGGACTGGGACTCCACCTCGGATGCCCATGCTCCTTGGGTACTGCTGCCCTCACCGCAGTGCTGAGGGGTGGGGCTGACGGGTTTCCCCTAAGCCTCCTGCGCCCAACCAAGGAAAGGGCTCACTGGCCCCCTCGGGTGGCTCACCCACTCCCACCCTCCTTTGCCCTCCTCCCTGGCCCCTTTCACCCGGCCACCTGGAGGAGGGACAGGGTGCAGGGCCCCGGACACTCACGTTGCAAGCTGAGATGACACCGTCACCCCCGGCACACACCATTGTGTCCTTCACCATGTTGCCCCACCAGTCTTTCTGGGTGCACGTGGCGTGATCCACCACGGGCTGTAGGCCCTGCTGCAGTTCGTCGGCAATGGGGCCGTTGGCTGGGAGAGAGGACAGAGGGTGGCCCTGAGTCAGCCAGGCAGCGCGGAGCCTTCAGGGAACAGAGGGCTGGGTGGGGCCGGGGCAGGACCCAGTGAGCTCTGGCTAGACTCTGTGGGACCCACCCATGGGCCCTTAACCGAGAGGCACGACTCTGAGCCTACGGTCCCAAAGTGTGGGTCAAGACCCCTCTAAGTGTGGAACAGAGGGAGCCCACTGGAAGCAGAACTAATCTGTAGAAAGCCCTAGAGGAATAACCGTGGAGTTATCTTTAATTTGGATTCTGTGGCTTCCATTGTCAGTCATTTCCTTGTAGGTCTCTGCCTTCGGTGTCACGTCAGCAGAGGTCTTTTTCACTCCAAGATTTTTCAAGTATTGATGTGCATTTTCTTCTAAGTCTCCCATACTTTCGTTTATTTGCATGCAACCTTTTAACTTAGGCATCCGGTTCTAATCCCCTGCCCCAGTGGTTTATTTAGTTTATTTTGTAGTCACTTAGATGGCACTAGGTATGCGCCAAGCACTGTTCTAAGCACCTGACAAGTTCTAATCCATTTATCCTCACAACACCCCTTCAATGCACTTGTTAGAGCGTCTGCCACGTGGTACGTGCTTAGTAAATATTAGCTGTTATTATTACAGAGGTAAAAAATGTGAGAAGATGTTTAGACAGAAAGGAAAAGTGGTGGGTAAATGTGGGTGGTATGCTTATTACGGGAGCTGCTTCCTCCAGGAAGGCTCTCATGATATGTGGGGGGGGGGGGGGGG